TAAAGATTTGATCTTTAGTTTTTGGTGGTATCAGAGTATGATATGATAAGTTCCGAGCCTTGTGCATTTGTGGGACCCGTCTCACGAGTGCATGGCGTTTGTCGCGTCTCGAATTTGGGTTTTGGGGCGTGACAGATTTAGTGGTATCAGAGCTTAGGTTAAATTAGATATCTGGAGATTTAGTAGTATCAGAGCTTAGGTTGAAATTAAGAGCTTAAGATTAAATTAAGCACCTCCAGATTGAGTGGCATTAGAGCAGATTGAGTGATATCCGAGCCTAGGTTTAATTGAATACCTAGGATTTGTTTTGGACTTGGCTAGCCAATTGATTTTAGATCCGTGGTGAGACGAGTGATGGGGTATATAAGGAACGATTCTGATTCGTGTTGCCTGAATATTCTAATCCATTCTAATGAGATGGATATCTGATTGTTCTTGTTTCCTGCCTTTATATACCCTGTGTAGATCCATGAGATTAATCTTGTCCGCCATGTTCTTAAGACCTTGTTTTGAAACTTGGTCATTTTCTGATAGTCTGCACTTGTTTAGACTTGTTACGTGAATAGAATTTTTGTGTGCTCTTTTGCCACAATTGTAAAATCTGGGGAGTTGCAAAGATCATTTGTTATTGACTCTGTTTGTCTCTACAGCATAGCTGGTTGAGAAATTTGCTCTGTTTGTCACATGACTAGTGGAAGATGGGCAACCCTCGACTTTGTAAGAGATTTAATGCTATTTTAGCAAAAGTTGTGTGTTTTCTAGCTGCGTTTTAGGAGCTGGATAACTTGGTAATTCTGCTGCTCCTTATCTTCTGAAAGTTTATAGTGAAGTTTCACTTTTTCCATTTGGAGCTTCGTGGTCTTTTCATGTGGCTCATTTTTCTGTATTGGTTAATCAAGAGCAGTGATTATTCAATTGAAATTGTTGTCTTTTTGTGAAGATTGGCAAGTTATCATAAAATTAAACTCTCTATTATTGCCAATCTCTACATTCTTGACACCTGGAAATTGCTTGAAACTCTTGAAACCCGTCTTGAATCTTTCTTGATATTGCTTTGTATTTGTTCTTGAAACTGAAATCCAGAAATTGATAATGATTATTGGAATCCTCATTATCTTGATTCTTGTCTGAAATTAATTCTTGCATTGTTCTTGGAATCTATTTTGAGTTGACCTTGAAAACGTTCTTGTCCTGACTCTTGCTCTTGCTCAAATTCTGTATACTGCTCTTGCTCAATTCCGCATATTCTATTAGTTCTTGTGTCAGTATACCTGTTGATCTTCTTGATTTCTGATTTTGCTCATATGGACACCTCTTTAGGAGGGGTGACGAAATACCTATATGAGGCATCCTCATTCTGGCCTCTTGTAAGTGTTAATCTCTGTATCCTTAATGTCCTAGCTTTGACTTGATTCTAGGATGTCTAGGATGACTTGATTGTAAATCTGCTTAGCCTCCATGAGCTACGAGGTGAAGGGGTAATCTTTGAAATACTTGATGTCCTGGAGTTTTGTTTCAACTGAAATTGTTCTTGATCTCAGCCATTGTTTTGTTTTATTAATTAATTCTAGTACTTGAGGTACTAGATCTCGCCATCCTGATTATATCTGTTCTTGAATCCGTGTTCTGATTGTCATTATTGAAATCTCTTTTGTCAGCCTAGTTCTTGAATTCTATTGCATGTTTCATGGTTAACTCTTGTCTCTCAATTTTGACTGCTTGGTTAAATGTGATCTTGATTCTTGGTGAATGCCATTTTGTCGCCAAATTTTTGAGGCATTCTACCTTGCACTCTTGTGTTCTAATATTCTTCCAAGCATTCATATTTTCCATTGATTTTATTCTATTGCAATTCTTGAGAATTTCCTGTCTTTTGATGGTCTTAGCTTTTAACTCTTGTTAATTGCTAAAATCTGCCTCTTGATTCCAGTTGCTTTGTCAAACATGATCTTATTTATTGGTTAACCTTGTTTTGTGGCATAATTTATAAAGCATCCATGCACTTGTTCATTCATTCATGATCCATATATCCATTGGATGCTTATCCGTCTTTGATAGAGTTCAAAATTTTGTTGTACTTGTCTTTAAATCCATGCCATTCTTTGTCAACTTGTCTTGTGATGGGTTCAAGGCGTAACCCCACAACTGTTTCTTTTGTGGCTTTGACAGGATTTATTTTTATTCCTTGTGCTTTCCGTATTACCCTAGCCTCCAGTAGCTTATTTGATGGCAAATCTTGTTAAGTGATTAGTGTTCTGCTTTTAAGATTAGTCATGATTTGTTATCAGAGTGGCGCAGCGGAAGCGTAATAGGCCGTGTTCTGTTCCTAGAAAGTAACGAGGCAATTGTTTTGTCTCGGATTGTGTGAAGCCACTCACCACTTGATATGGTCCTCAATTTGAGTTTTGGGGACAAAACTCCTTTTTAGGAGGGGTG